GTACAGCAGTATATATATATATATAATAGGACAATATATATTTGTCTCTATTTCTTCTCTCCAGAGACTCTCAAGGGCCCCTAAAACTGTCAAAAGTAAAATAAAATAAAATAAAATAAAATAAAATAAAATGGGCGTCTTCCTTTTTTTACAGTTAGAAAGGGAAAAATGAGTGCCTTAAGCTGCTCATTCCACACACAATTTCAGCTCCTCCTAGTTCAGTAATATTATGTCATTAGTTATGGCCCTTGTAACTCTGGGGCAGGCCCAGAAATGAAATGCAACCCTCAGCAACCCAGACGTGGCACATACTTGTAGTATGTGAGTTTGCTTCATGTAACCATGTAGAAATGCAACAGATTAGGTATACTTTCCATCACTATGAATTATTTTGCTCTATTGTTGCATAGAATGATAAATTAAAATTATAGCATTGATTCACAATTGATGAATGAATGCACAATTCATAAATTCATAAATCTAATCTGTGAAAAGTAAGCTTAACCTATTGTTAAATATTAGCATCACAAATGGAAAACTTGAGAAACTCCAAAGCATTGTCCTTTCTGTGATTTTAAAGTAGAGCCATATTCTGCCAAGTAAATTAAACATCCTGTGAAAAATTGGCCCAAGGCACCCAAGGTCATAGACGATTTAAACCAAGAAAGATGAGTTTTGCTCTTCTTGCTTAAATCATTTTGATGTTTAATAGCATAGAAAAAGAAATCTTAGAGTTTATCTTGGTGTTTACAGTTCCACAAAAACCCTAATCCTCTATTTGTGAGATAAGGTAACTCTGGAAATTATGATAATGTTGGGCCTAAACAAAATATTCACAAAGCTTAAAAACACATCAAACTAAAGTGACAGCATTTGTCAAAAACATAGCACTTTATGTGTTTGTTGGACACTCTTGGAAGTTTTACAAACATGGAAGTCATTTTGATTGGATTTGCTTTTATTGATTTTCTTTTAATCCATTTAGCTTCTGTTCAGCTGTAAAGCAGGAACCAAAATTGTGTTAGTCCTTTGGGGAATTTAAGAAAGGTCTGATGCATTAGAACAGTGGCTTGTCCAGCTCATGTATTTCTTACCTGTTGCAATTCAAAAGAAATTACACAGTGCAGTCCTAGGCATGCTTACTTGGAAGTAAGTCCCACTGAATTCAGTGGAATTTGCCTGAATAAGTTTGCATCTTTAGCAGGTTGGTAACGTGTTTACCATTCTTTTAGCCTCTTCACTTGCCTGTCCCATTTTAAAGACAGGAAATGAACCTGAGAAATCAAGATTTATCCTAGGTATTGAGCAGCTGGATTTCCTGCCATGATCTCATTATCACTGGAGATAACCCATTTACCAAGGATCTTCCTATATAACCATCCAGCTTTTGGTAGTCAGCTGAAAAAGATCAGTAAACACACAATCCAGTAGTGCTAAAAAAAAAAAAAAAAATTGGTGCCTTTCCCAGAAGTGTATGATATTTTGGGCATGCATGATTGGCTGGCTGTAAGCAAGCAGCTGGTATGAGTAGGATTTGGATCATTCTCCATGTATTGACTAAAGTCCACAGTTTCTTACTTCTAGAACAGCCTTCTGCAGATGGCCCCAAATGTGTTGGACTAGAGCTTCCAGAATTCCTAGCCAGTAGGTTGGAGTATTCTGGGAGTTGCAGTCCCAACATCTGGAGAGCTTCCTCTTGGGGAAGGTGGATTTAGAAATTAAATTCAGTTCCTAAATACATAATCCTGAATGCATAGAATTGTGCTGTTGACTGCAATAAACAATTGATCTTTTATTTTGATATCGCTGCTGCAGGAACATTTGCACTTTGTGACAGAAATATCGCAGGATGAGATTTTTATCCTGGACCCAGAGTTGGGGGCAGCTCAGCCAGCAGGAACACCTCCAGGAATGCCTGATTTGGTAGTAGAGCAGGCCTCTGGGTAAGGATGATTTTCAGGTTTCTGAATTTTTTCAGTTCTCTTGTTCTATTTTCATACACAATTTTCCATATCCATAAAGATGGGTATCACATGGAGGTTTCTGTGCAACATTTTGTTCCAAAGAACTTTTCCCTAACTGGATTCTTTTCAGATGCTTTGGGCTATAACTTCCAGTCATCATTGGCTAGGATGAATGGGAAGCCTAAAGCAACTGAAAGACACCAGCCTTTTCAACATATCTCTATTTATATTTTCAGCATCTGTCATCACTGCAGGGTACAGTGGGAAGGGGGCACCTTAATTCATTCCCCTCCCTCTATGTATACTCTATTTTTCGTTATGCTTCTGATATTGCTGGACTTCAGTTCCTAGTGGCTGAAATGTGGCCAATGATGAGGGATGCTAAAAGTTGTAATTTGTTGGCTTTTGAAGCACTGCAGTTGACCCACAAGAAGTCATTCAGGTAGTCTTTGGCTTATGACAGCAATTAAGACCAGAATTTCGATCACTAAGCAATGTGGTCATAAAGCGTGACGTCACGTTACCTTATTGCTTAGCGATGGCAATCCCAGTAGTCCCAGTTGCCGTTGTAATCCCACGATGATGCAGGTTGTTAAGTGGGAAGAGGCAGGAGTCCCAGGCAAGCAGGTTGGCAGGTGAGAGCTGTGGGTGAGAGCTCCAGCAGGTGGGCAGGTGCCAGGAGGGGGTCTGCAAGTGCCACAGGCAGGCACTAGGGTGTGTGTGGGTGGCGTGGGAGGGTGCGCAGGTGCCATGGGCAGGTGCCACTAAGCACGGACACGTGTGCGGGTGCGTGGGGGGGTGGGGGGGTGCCACAGGTAGATGCTAGGGAATGCAGATGGGGGGGCAAAACGGTGGGAACAGGAGGGACTTGCAACTTCCTGCCAGCTTCCCCATTGACTTTGCTTGTGGGAAGCCAGTAGGGAATGTCAAAAATTGTGATCACATGACCGTGGGGACACTGCAATGGCTGGAACTCCAAGGACCCATCGTAAGTCCCCCTTGTTCAATGCTGTTGTAACTTTCAATGGTTGCTAAACGAATGGTTGTAACTCGAGAACTACCTGTATAGAACATATAGTATATGTAACTATAGCATTGAAAGCAGCTTGGAGAAATAATTGTAGCATGGAAAATTGATAGGAAATAGATTATTCCACCTTCATGAACCCCACAGTGACATTTTTGTTGAAGACTGCATTAGAGGGATTGTTGAAAGTGAAAATAAAACTGCAAAGAAAACGTAGGAAAGCAATCTTTTTTTGTTTGCCACACTTTGTGAGAAATGTATCCAAGAGGCTATTAGAGATTATTTATAGATGCAGTCTTTTTGAAATATTTGTTTATGCCACACAGTAGAAAACAGTATATCAGGTCCAAGATGAAATCACAAAATAAAGAAATTAAAGGAAAATAAACATTAGAAAATACCTTACTTATAGATGCAGTAAAATGCAGCATGGTGATTAAAAGTAAACTATGATAGAAACCTGTATTAGAGCATACAATTATGTGATTCTTACCTACAGGACTAACAATGTAGGTATATGTATGTTTATATTTAAATAGTTATCTCATATTTCCAGAAACAATAATAATAAAAAAGCAGTAGTCCATTAGTCCCCTATAAGATACTATATGTGCCTTTCATCTTTCTCAGGTCTCACTAAGTTAGTTGCTTGTGTGTACCATTATGGTGCAGCAATTTGTATACAATTTTGTGGAATTAATTCAGGAAACAAATGAATAAACAAGAGGATAAGATAGTGTGCAATTGTGCAAGAAAAGCTGGGAATAATTGATTGCACCAAAAAATCAAAACTGGGAAAAAGGCTGCTATTGGAAGCAATGGTGTTTTTATTTGAAAATGTTTTTTTCCCCAGAATTTCAGATCGGTGGAATCCTGCTATTCGAAAGCGCATGTTGAGTGACAGTGGCCTAGGGAAGATGTCCCCTCACTACGAGGTACCTGAAAAACAAAAGGAGGCCAGCCAGGCACATATGCTGCAGTAAGAGTCTTCTGCATTTCTCTGCTTGGTTTTTTAAAATCAGTGTCTTTTGCCATGTCAGTTTAAACTACGTTGCATTTTAAGGTGAGGTGATATAGAAGGAGAATGTAAGAAAGCTTCACTGATCCATCTAGCTCAACAGTATCTGAACGAGCTGGGTTCACTCTTTATGCTAAAGAGTAGCTTATTTTAACCATTATTTGTTGAGCATACCTCAATGGCTGGGTTCATAAATATTGCTGAGCCACAAATCATGATCTACAAATTACAGCATTTGAGCTCACACATTGTGCTAAACCAGATCAACACTTGACTTCAGTATTTGGCTGGCGGCTGTTCTCCATGGACTCAATTTCCCAGCCACACCTGGAGTTGCCAAGGATTGAATTGGAAGCCTTACACATAAAAAGCATGCACTCCACTAAGTTCAATCCAACAACAGCAGTGTATAACTAAATCTGGGAATGAATTCTGAGGTTAATACATGTGTTTAGCTGCTGTCAAAATCATTTCATGATGGCAGTAATAGCTGAAATGACAGGTTGCATAGTGCAGGTCTGAGGAACCTGTGGCCCTACAGATATTGTTGGACTACCATGACCGTCATCTTTCATTCTTTTTGATACTCATGAGGACTGGGATCCAACAACATCTGATGTCTTGAACATACAGCTGACCCTCCCTGTAACCAAGCTCGGCTGGCTTGGTCCTTGCAGTCCATGTAGGTGCCCAAGTCCAGATTCTGTTGTAGCATGCAGCAGTCTCAACCATCCATGTAGTTGCATAGAACTGTTTATCCTTTTGCAACGTGATATTGAGGTGTCCAACATAAAGCTTGGGAGTACCAATCTGACCACCCCCCTCGCTATTTAAATCTTTTAAAGTAAAAATAAAACCCATAATTCCTGTTTTGAAGAATACTTCTAGCCTCAGGTGAGATCCATAAGGATTCTTAGAAAATGAAAAAAAGAAAAAGAAAAGAGGATGGATGGATGGATGGATGGATGGATGGATGGATGGATGGATGGAATCCAGTGTTTATGCCTTCTTACATTGGTAAATAGGGGAAGTTGAAAATATCCTGCAGGATTGTAACCAAGGGGGAGGCCATATGACATTTTGATAAATTGATGCTTGGTAACTGGCTGTGTTTTCTGTGAATAATTGTCCTTGCTCCCAAGTCATCTTGTGCCTAGAATGTATTCCCAAAACTGCAAATGCATTAAAGGGGGGGGGGGAGAAAGAGAGAGAGAGAGAGAGAGAGAATCCTTGAAGTAATAGTTCCATTTTCTCCCTGCCTCCCTGATCTCTCTGTTGATCAGGAAAGAACAGGTATTTCCCCTTTTCTCCCCTCTGTTCTTATTCATATTATTTTCCTTTCCTTTCACTCAGCGTATGCTTTTCTATTTCATTTGAAATGAAGAAACTGATGGGTAATAAAGTCCTGTAGCAGGAAGTAGAAGTGGGATCATATACCAAGTTTTTCATCATTTGGACAGTGAAGAGAGGCACCTGGTAATGAGATCTCTTATTCACAAAACTTGGGATTAAAATAT